CCATCTCCCTGTACATACTACTAGTGTATAATCACCTGAATAAAGGAATTGTTATGCGTTTGTTATCTCAAAATTATTTTTCATCTACGGACGCCACGGGTCTCCTTCCATGGAGTCCGCCATGTTGAAATGCCCCATTTCTACAGTAGCTCACAAAGGACAAACCAAACACTGGCTCTAGATGGGGGGCTACATGTGTTCCAACGTTTTTCCTCTACGTTTGGAAGCGCAGGGGTAAAACAAGGGGGCGTCGCTAAATCCTTGGATCTCTCTACCTTTAAAGGATTTGCAGTCCATTTTAATCGAAACAGTCTTAATAAAAAAAAAAGAATAATTTGAAAGAAACAAAAAAAAAAAGAACATACGGAAGTCATACCACTCTTGTCCTGTGGGTGGCGCTAGAGGGAGGTCTGTGGGTCATTGTGTATTAAAAAGGGTTTACAGTCTGAAGAGTATAAATGGGCACAGCAATTTTCACAACAATTTGGCCCTCTAGATTTTTTTTCTGTGTCCAAGTACAGATTTTTGGTTAGACGGTGGCACTAAAAGAAATGTCAGAGTCATTAAAAGACAAAGAATCAGCCTTCAAAGATCCTGAATGTGCTAAACAGATTTCCTGACAACTGGGCTGTTGCTGTTGCTGAGATATCATGTCAAGGGGAAAGTCTGACCAGATGATGGCACCAGATGAAAAGTCAGTTGGTCACCTGAATTATTAGGAATTGTCCTCTGGGGACTATGACTATCCATTCATGGCAATCTGGTCAGTAGTTATCAAGATTTCTTGCTCTTTACCAAAGTGTTGACTGACCAGAAAGACAGACCATCTGACACAAAAACAAAGATATACTTACAATTTGTAAAGAATATTGTGTATATTTTCCGAAACACCTCCTTGGCGTATATTACCTCATAATTCAGCAAAAAAGGCAGATATTTGAGGATTTTTTAGGAAAAAAAAAGACAGAAGTTTATGAGCCTACATTCAAGCCACCTTGCAAAGATGATTTTCTGACATTTAACCACAGATAGCTTATTATAAAATAGAGGTAAGCCGTTAAGGAGATATTGTTGTTGACTTTTACTAATAAGGAATCAGACAGACAAGTTTACACAAAATGAAAAAAAAAAAAAAAGAACAGCAGGAACCCCAACACACATGATTAGCAATTCATTAGGATCTGGGTTCATTCAGTCCTCCTTCCTTTTTGGGATTATAATGAAAAATGTGTAGACGCATATGCATGCACCCACACGCAAATTTGACACATTCTATGAGCTCTGAGCTCCTCTTAGTCAAATGCAGCAAAGAAAATGACTGGATTCAGTTAAAAACCATGAGCAGATGACTGATGGTGTAACAGCAAGGGACAGAGACATTAGAAGAGGGAGAAAAAAAAGGAGGAGATGAGACGGGTAAAGATGGGGGTGGGGACTGAAAAAAAAAAAAAAAAAACATCACGGTAGTAACCATAGAAATAGATTCTCTCCCCCAATCTGAGCTCTCATCCTTTTCCCTGTCTCAACGCTTTTTCTTCCCTTTCTGTTGCTGCTGCTGTCATGATCCGCAGTCTCCAGGACCATTAACCTGCTAGAGCACTGCCATGGGGCTACAGAAATGAAACCCATCCTCTTGCATTATTATCAGAGGTTAAGAAGCCAAACACCATTAGGGATAATTACAGTCCCGAAACCCATGCTATAAAAGTCAGAAGCCCATTATGCTGCACAGTAACAGAGAAAGCACAATAACAGCAGCAAGGGTGGGAGTGTGTCTACGTCTGGGGTTCCACCTCTCAGCAAACCTCATTGACACACTCAGCCGCATACCAATCAGTGCCAATGGCAAGATAATGCCAGCTCACATCCTCTGGTCCATTCATTTGATCTATCTATGCATCGGATCAACTATGTGTGATCCCAAAGCACAAAATCGGGAACCAGAAGAGGAGAGCACCAGAAAACAGGGAGATTCCTCCCTCCCTCGTTCCTTGTCTGACACAGCATATGGCCAAACCCATTTTGGCCCCAACAGGCATAACACTAATGACAGGGACACACCACCAACTACCCAGGGCATCACACTAGGTCACCTGAAACAAGGCTACCTGGAATTTGCTGCTGTGGTAATGAGGAGTCTAATGGCACAACGGCAGCCAATGGTAGCATGGGGTCTTTAACCGACAAAGGTGTGTTACAGAGGTGTATGCAGGAGGTCTCTGCATTGACTACAGGAAAAGGGGGTCGTCTTTGAAAATAAGCCAAACAATGCCTTGTAAACAGGTAGCACTTACTCAGTTTTGGCCAATGTTGTCAACGCTCTGCTGAAGAACCAGCCTAGAAAGGGCAGATCCTGGCCCTGGAAGCCCGCTGGCAGAGCTCCTCGCTGGGCTGCTGAGGCTGGCCGGGGGGCTGCCTGCTCCGGCTCCTCAAAATTAGAGGTGTCATCTTCAGCGTGCAACGCAGGAACAAAAGGCGGGAGAACTGCAGGAGAAAGGATGAGAGGAGGAAGTAAGAGAGGGCAAGGAAAAAAGGAAGCAGCGACGGACAAAGTAGTAAAAAAGAAAAAAAAAATTTGAAAAAAGAAAAAAAAAAACACAACAAGGAGAAAGGGGAGAGAAAGGAAGGGAGGAGGAACGGAGCAGAGCGGTGGGAGCCTAGAGTGCGGTAAGTCGCGCGTTGATGCACATGCTGCCTCTCTGTCCCTCCCGCCCGCCTCTCCTCTGTCTCATATACACATGCTCACTCGCTCTCCCTCACTGCAGCAGAGCAAGCTAATCAGCTGGAGCCAAAGCTGAAGCATAAAAAGCTCCATCTGTGTCCAGTTATCAATACACCACATCTGTGTTTTCAATACAAACATTTAGGTATCTGATTCTTTTTCATAGATTGTATTTGATATATTATAACTCAGACTATCAATTAATACAATTAATCTTCAGAGAGTTTTTTTTTTTTATAAATCAATTCAACACACACAGTCACAAAAAGCTCCTGCATTTCAAAAACTGTATCATATCCTGCTGGTAATCATGAGGATTTTGAACAAACAGCTAGATTAATTAATATTCAGCGCTGATAGGAACATTATCACCGAAAAACAGCTCAGAGGGAATGACCGGCATGGCAATGTTTGATAATAGCTTCAGAATCACAAAAAGGAGGGGATTTGGTTTGTTCATCTGAAGACGCAAGATATTCTGCACAGCAAAATAAACACTTATCACCCCTGCAGCTATACGCACTGAATCACAGAACCACTGTAGAGCTGCGGTTCTTTAATGTGACCATGCTTCACAGAAAATATCCATTAATGTGAATGTTATGGGCGTGATTTCCCACAGCTGGTCAGGTGAACAAACTCCTTGTCATTCAGTCTGAGATTTGATGGCTACAATGACGTCCAACAAACGCACATGTATTTCCGCCACAGAGAGCGTGTCTGGTGTCACTAGCGTAAAAGATTTGTGCTGCGTCTGTTGAGAAGCAGATGAGTTGCAGATCTTTACTCTGTCTGCCTCGCTTCTGGTCTCTGCCTCCCTCCCATTCTCTTCCTCAGGAAAGAGCTGGCCTACTGCCAACGGCACACAGAATCTCATTATTTTACTACAGACAAAACCACTGGCAACGCAATTGCTGTTTGTTGTCTATGCGCAACCACACACACACACACACACACACACACACACAGCACACTTATGTATATTATAAACAACATTAGTATTTGACAACTACTCATATTTCATCTGTCCAGTGACGTGATTACAGCAACATTGTGTGATTTCAAGCCACATTGAGCATTTTCTGGAAAGACAGAAGAAGAGTCTCAAGGGAGAGGAATCTCCTTACCTTGTCTTAAGTTGTTCCAGTCTACACTAGAGAAGAAAGAGTGACAGCGGAGTCCCTGGAAACCCAGTCGCTCTTTGGCTCCACACAGCAATCTCTGCAGCAGGTCTACAAACTGCTTACTGGCCCGCGGCTGCTCCGGAAACTTAAGGGAACGCTGTGGGCAAACAACATGGACAAGGATTCATTTCATAACACAGAGACTGATCAGATGTTACTACAGGTAAATCAGACTGCATATTTCCATTGCAGCACACTGGGAATGGTAAGTGGACCTGTCTTCATACACCTGGAATTTTAAGTTACAGACAATTACAATTACAATTAATGATCAGTGTCAGCCACAGCTGAGGTGACAATCTGTGCACCTGGAAGTTGAGGATATTGTTGACTGTCTTGGTAGAAGTGCCTTCAGAAAAAGGTGACCTGGCATAGATCATCTCATAGGCGATGACCCCAAGAGACCACCAGTCACACTCAACCCCGTAGGTACTGTAAGAGCCCCCATTCATGGCTGCCAGGACCTCCGGGGAAAGGAAGTCCTGGGTCCCGAGAGGCACCGTGGGAGCTGCCACCTGGAACCACATTAATAAAACACGATGATGTTACCGTCAAGCATTACTGAAGTTAATACATAGAGCAAACTCTGTAATCTACTTACTGTTTTGTTAGCAGTCAGCCTGGCAGCTGATCCAAAGTCTGCCAGCTTAATGTGACCAGTCCGATCGATGAGCACATTCTCTGGTTTGACATCTCTGCAAGTGGAGAGTTTAGAAGGGATTTGATAGTGCTTTTGCAGAGCTGTTTGTTGCCTGAGTACTGTAATATGTCTGCCGCTATGATGATAATGGAATACATTTGTAAACTCCAGCAATGTTTTTGTATTACATAACACCACACTCAGTGCTCTAGGTTAAATTACAATGCTACATTTTTCAGGTCCAGAATTATGAGCATTTGGCCTTCAAGTGAAAACAAAGAATGGTATGTAGTGAAAATGTAAGAGTACAAGTACCAACTTAGGATCTCTTTCCTTAACTGTGTCGTTCCTTAAAGCCTTAAAACATGCGGACCTCATCATTGAGAGGTTGGGTTCAGTAGCTGGTGTCTTACCTGTGGACATAGCCCAGCTGGTGGACAGCATGAATGGCCTCTACCAACTCAGCCAAATAGAACTGAGCCATGGACTCATCAAACTGATCCTCGTATCGGTTTAGCAGGGACATCAGATCGCCGCCTGGCAAGTACTCCATCGCCTGAAGACACATTTGTATGCTGTCAGATATTGACACTATAAAACTATAGCCAGCACCTGGAATTTAAATGAATGTGTTTGAATATGATTAAAATGAACAGAATCACATGCTGTTGAAACATTTATGAATGCCCATAAATAAGAGCTATATTTAGAAAGAAAAACAAAGTAAAGAGTATGGGAGCGTGTGTGTTTGAGCTCTGACCAAAGCTCTATTTAAGCTTATAGGGTTTCTCTCCTCATCATAGATTCACAGGATACTGTTGCAGACTTATCTCTGAATCTGCACAGACTGGTCTTCAATAGCTAAAAATACACATACACCAACAATAACTGCATTAACAACAACAAAAAAGATACCTCAATAAGCATCTTCAAAGTTTAGACACACACATCAACAAATCAACCATGGTCATGTTTGACTCAAGTTCCCCTTTCTGCTGTCTGCTTACTGAGATGAAAAGCATTGGTCAGGCTGATTTGAGCTATATGGTGGCAGCCATAACAGGCGAGAGCCCCTGGTGCATGAATGGTCGGCGAGTCTGAATGAACGGGAGCATTCTCCAGTGTTACCTAGCAACAGGGAGACTGGGTGCCTCTCTGACACACGGATAAAGATGGATGCTTTGTATTTTCCTCCATGCTCAGTTAGGGAGCAGGGTGAGACAGAGGGGGAGTGAAAAGAGAGGAGGAGGAGGAAGAATGGAGACATACATACAGGGGGCATGTGGGGAGGTATAAGGAGAGGGAGAGTGAAAGAAAAACAAAGGGCAGTATACAGTATTTGGCTTGTCGAGGCAGGAAATGCTTTTTGCTACACCTTAAGCCGGTCTAACAAGTCGTCACAGAAAATATATTCTTTGTGAGGTTAACATCCTCCTCGATGAGGACAAGATTGACACGATGCTTCACGGCTAAAGATTAGGCTATAACGGGGTATGTTTAAGCATATCCTTAACCAGAGACAAATGAGAAGACACATTAAATTCATATATAATATACAATTCCTATAGGTCAAACACAGCAAGCTTGAGGTAACACTGATCTCAGCTCTTGACTGGCATATCTTTCTCACTTTTTTGCAGTCGTAGTTTCTGGAATGTGACGTTGTGATTTCAGTGGCAGTTAGGTACTAAATCACAGCTCAAAGACTGCACACAGCACGTCAGAGGCCCTGCTCAATGCAGTCGCCAGCGCTGAATAATGTCGCTAATCTTAACAAAACCCTGGTGACTCTTGGCTCTACTGGTGGCTAGCCTGCAAGCTAACATCATAACACAACAACACTTTGAAGTTGCTGGAAGGTGATTTTTTTTTCCCTCTTTTGAGGCTAACTATCCCTCCCTGCCCATACTTCAAAGCATTTCCTCTACATACAACTTGTTCATTTCATTGCTCACTTCAGATCTTTCCACGTTCGGGAAACCACGGCTGTAAAAAAAAAAAAAAAAACAACAAAAAAACCCCATACACCTTCCAATAGAGCTGTCGTGTACACTGCTTTGTACATAAAATATGAATAGGAATTCATGATTTGTTTTCACTTTTGAAGGAAATCAGCCTTTTCTCCCTGCTTCTAGTTTAGGAGTATAAATAAACACATCCAGACTATTCTCCTCACCTAACTGTGGACTTAGGAAGAATGTGGAAGAATATATTAAACATATATGAAGACATTAAGGAGTATAAAATAACTTTAATACTATCAACCAATATAAGAATATACCAAAAAACACTAAAAGTCACCACTGGGAAAGGCTCAGTGGATCATTCCTTGCCACTGCTGCTACACGGGTTTCAGCTCAATTAAATAACAATTCATATGAACGATGCCATTAAAAACAGTCGCCTTTATAAAATGTTACTCTCTGTGTAAAGAGCACCTAGAAAATAACATCATGGATATTTTTTTAATCTCCTATTATAAACAATATGAAACCATAACATGGTTGGTTCTGTGAGTAAATTCATCTTTCTGATCCCTCACTTTTTTCTTTCAGTTCGTATTAAAAGACTACCTCCAGACTGATACTACAGCATAAAGCTCTACACTGTGACCCTTGGTATTTAAATGTATATTACTCCCAACAAGTCCTACACAGTGTGTGTCATTTGCTTGGCATTTTTATTACCCCATTACTCCCCTCTGACCTATGGCCGTTTGCAAAAGACCTTTAAAACATTCTTCTGACAAGGAGAAATTGAAACATTAATTTCAGTTCATCCTCAAGATCCCTGCAGCTTTACCAGGTAGACATGTTCTTTATCCTGGAAGGCATACAGAAGCTGTGGGATCCAGGGACTGCTGTTCAGTGACAGGATCCTCCGCTCCTCTTCATGAAAAACCATCTGGAGACAAATTGAAACAGTATATAATCAGTATATCTACAGGAAACAAATGCAGCAGCAGTGCTACACAAACTGCTACAGTGTATCGGCCACATAAACTCATCTTTCTTAAACACTGAGAAGCAACCATCTTAATGCTCATATCAAACATTTTGAAGAATAAGAATTCCTGCCCTCCTTTCCTAGCTTCAGTTCATGTCGCTAGTTTTATAAGT